GGGCTCGGTTTTCAGCACCTTCCAGCTTTTCCAGCCCTGGCCACTTCAACTGTCGCGGAATTTCCAGCTTTACGTTTTGTTCAGCCTCTGTCGGATTTGGGGCTTTGTCCGGACCAGTTGTTGCATTGCACCTCTGAGGTTTTTGGTGCTAGAACTGGTTACTCGCCGGTCGTTGCAAGTAGGTCCTTCTGGATTCCCAGATCCCAATATAAGTCAAGTGCCTTGCTACTTCAAGAATCGATATGCTGTTGCTGTGTTTTGTTATCACCTGGGAGGGCCCGTACCCAATATAACGTACGGTTACGTGATCCGCCTTCCAATTTCATGTTTGTACCTACTTCTTCCGACCGACGTGTATTGATTCCAACAGTGGAGAAGTGAGAGCCCGATGCTTTGACACAGTTGACAGCCGCCTGCATGGATGATCCTCTTGCGAATTCATTGGTTGACCTCGTGCGAATGATTCACGAACAAACGTTTGGTGTTCTCGATAATGCCAGTATACGACCTGATAGTTTACGACGGGTCATCGTAAGTTTGTGTAATGAATTTGTCGCACATTCACAGTTGGTTGTATCAATGCATTGTCCATCATTCGATCGCAGTGCAGTACGCGTGGTATGGCGCAGCACCGTGCAAGACACCGAGACGTTCCAGTCGCGGCAGGAGTGTAGACCCCAGGGTCGATGGCACGTGATGTGAATATCTCATGATTGCGTTCGCGGGGGATCGCCAGTCACGCCGGGAAAATGGCATAAAGCTCAAAGCTATTGGCATTGGTACCAGAAGCACCGCGGGTCAGTGCGAAATCATTTTGTAGGGGGTGTCCCCGCTTGCGGATCTCGTCTGTGTTTGCCAGAGGCTCGATCAAACGGCGATGATGATGTCCAGCGCATTTCCCCCATGTTGCCAATATGTCCCTCGTCCACGTGTTGATGTTCTTCGATATGCGTTCTTGTCGAGACGCACGCCCCTCCTCCCGTCGCATATTGTCCAATGAATTGTTGCAAACAGGGCGCGCTGGCTGCATCAGCCGGGGACGGGCCCTGCCTCTTCGTCGAAGGTCCGCGGGATGTGTCTGCATGTAATTTCATAGCGTTTACGAGTGACATCGGTCTCTTCGTGCGCAGGTCCTCGGCAACAAAAGAAACAGTAACATTCGGCATGGAAGATATTCACGGAAAGAGGGAGGGCAGCGGGTTAGGAGCAGAGAGTTTTGCTCAGCTTACATCGCACGATGAGACGGGAAGTGTTAGCATAGCTTGTCCCTGAGATTCGTTCCAGTGTCCTTCACGGAATTGTTCAGGGCAAGCATTGCAGCGTCAGGAGAACAGGTTCGCTCAAGATGGCTACCAGTTGCTGGTTTGTCTTCATGCTTGATTGGTGGGGCTGTTGCATCGACGAATTCGACGGGACGTCATGTCAGTTGAGGCGCGTCTTGAAAGAAGTACGATGAATTTGCGAGTGGATATTCCTCCCCCCTCCCCCCTCCTTCACTGCTTCCCCTCCCTCCTCCTCATCCCCTGTGTGCCCCCCTCAATGCTCCTCAGGACATACGTTATTTGGATGTTTCATTTTTGTGTGTCGGCCCTATTTCTACCACCTGCGTCGTGCTGTAGTCGGTTGACAGGCTCACGTTGGCGCTAACACACGCCAAGAGGATCACTGGGAAACCTTCACTCGAAGACCTTCGAACGGCTCCCCGACACCTCCCCAGAGCCTCGGCAACGACGAACGACCACGAACGACGAGCGGCGTCGACGACGGCGCGTCTCGCCTGCCGCCCCCTCTTGCGCCCGCCCGCGGCGCGCCCACCCTCGGCGCCTGGCGCGAAGGGCTCCCCGTCGGGTGCTCCGACTCCGACCTGCGGGCCTTGGTGGAGCAGGTGGCCTTCCGCGCCCCCGCGGAGTCCCGCATCACGGCCTGCAAGGCGGGCGGCGGCGGCGGCGGCGCTGCGCGGCGCGTCTCCTCCATCGCGGCGGCCTCTCGCGTTGACTTGGGCCCTCGAGGGGGGAGGCGTTTTCGGAGGCCCCAGGGCCCTCCCAGGATGGGCTCCAGGGCGACGAGGAGGGTCCCGACCAGGCCAGGGGAGCTGCCCGAGGGCTTCTGGCCTCCCTCCCCGCCCTTCGGGCCAGGAGTCGAGCAGGGGATCGACTGCAGAACTGCTTTACAGTCGGACCGAGGTATGAGATAGAGGTCGGCTCGGGGAGGGTTGTCACTGTAATGTTATTCGTGTTCTTCAATCGCTTCGCTCATTCCGCCGGCCCATGTTGCATGATCGCTACTGCTTCGCCGTGGGCCCGGGGCCATTGTGGCGCCGCCGAGGAGGAGGAGGAGGAAGATGAGGATGGGGAAGGGGAGGGGAGGAGGAGGAGAGGCTGAGAAGGAGAGGAGGAGAATGAAGATAAGTAGGAGGAGGAGGAAGGGGAAGGGGCGGAGGAGGAAGCCCCTCGTTGGCATCTTGTGTTGCTCTTGGGGCCAAACAGGGTCGTCGTCGATGCTTCTTTGGGAGGCCTCTTGGGGTCTTTTGAGAAGCTGTTCGGGGGCGCCTGGGAGGCATTTTTGAACTTCTGGGGCCTCTTTTCGGCCTCCTGGGGGCCTCCCGGGGCCTCTTGGGGGCCTCTTGGCGGCATCTTGGGGGCCTCTTGTGAGCCTCTCGGGGCCTCCTGGGGCCCTCTTGGGGCGGAAGGCTCGAGTTTTCGGTTCGTGGTCCCCCTCTTGGGCCCCTCTTGGGGCCGTCTTGGGGCCGTCTTGGGCCGTCTTAAGCGCCTCTTGGGCTGTCTCGGGGCCCTCTTGGGTCCTTCCTGGGGCCCTCTTGAAAGCCTCTTGGCCCGTCTTGGGGCGCTCTTGGGGGCCTCTTGGGCCGTCTTGGAGCATCGGATGGCCGAAAAGGCGACAAGGCCAAAATCCTTCCAAAACCACCGTAAAATTGATGATGTTGTCCTGTCGGGCCCTCTTGTGAGGCCTCTTGGAGGCCACTTGGAGGCCTCTTGGGCCGTCTTGGGGTCATCATCGGCGTCTTGGAGCGCTCTTTGGGCGTCTCTGGAGCCTCTTGGACCGTCTGGGAGACCTCTTGGGGTCCTCTTGGACCGATTCGGAGCCCTCTGGGGCTCCGAAAAAGAGTTTCGGCATCCTTGAACAGACCTTGCCGGGACTCGGCTCGGGGAGGGTTGTTATTATAATGTTTTTCGTGTTATTTGTTGGATGTTTTGGTGCATCCTGGGGAGGGTTTTCTTAGATGTTCTGCTTGTTTTGGCCGGCGGAGGGTCTCATGGTCTTGGGGGATGTTTTTTTTTGTCTGGCCTTGGTCCGACTGCATCCCAGGGTTGATTTTGTCGTCGAATGCAGCGAAAAAATGTTTATTGTTCCGTAGATACACGAGCACTCTACGCATGTTTCGTGGATTCGGCGGGGGAATCTATTCCGGGGTGCATCAATTATGCAGTCGATCTCCTACTCGAACGAGGGCAGGGAGGGGGACCGACCCTGGGCACTGGGGCGCGGTGAGAAGCATCGATGAGCTCGGATCGCCCCCAGGGGCACAAAGAGAATCGCGCTTCGGCGTCGCGGCCTGGGCCGGACAGCTACCCTCCTCCAGAGGGCGGCGCGGATCGCGGGGCGCGATGCGCGAACTCGGGCGACCTGGATCTTACCTCCCCACCTTTCGGGCGAGAGGGCCAGGGTCGGACGGGGCTAGGACGAGGATAAATCCGTTCCAGAGCGTTCCAGAACTCTCTGAGAAGGCCGCGGCGCCCGAGACGTCCTCCAGAACCGCCGGATCTTAGAAATTCTCGATGTATTCTCGCTCGATTCTATCCTCGTCCTGGCTTCGTCTTACAGGGGGGGGCAAGCCCTGGCACTGGGGCATGGCGAGAAGCAGCACTGGGGGCCACGTCTTGCCGCGTGGCGCTCCAGGCTCGGGGGCCCTCGCGGACCGATCCGGCCCGATAAATCTAGCGTCAAGGCCATGTCGGCCGATGAAGCGCAAGCATGGAAGCACGGATTGAGGTGGCTCAAGCCGCTCTGGCTCAAGCCGCGCGGCCCGGAGCGCAGCCCAGCCGGCGCGCTCTCTCCTCTTCCCTCCTCTCCCTTCTCCGGGGGCGCGTGGATTCGGCGGGGGAATCTATTCCGGGGTGCATCAATTATGCAGTCGATCTCCTACTCGAACGAGGGCAGGGAGGGGGACCGACCCTGGGCACTGGGGCGCGGTGAGAAGCATCGATGAGCTCGGATCGCCCCCAGGGGCACAAAGAGAATCGCGCTTCGGCGTCGCGGCCTGGGCCGGACAGCTACCCTCCTCCAGAGGGCGGCGCGGATCGCGGGGCGCGATGCGCGAACTCGGGCGACCTGGATCTTACCTCCCCACCTTTCGGGCGAGAGGGCCAGGGTCGGACGGGGCTAGGACGAGGATAAATCCGTTCCAGAGCGTTCCAGAACTCTCTGAGAAGGCCGCGGCGCCCGAGACGTCCTCCAGAACCGCCGGATCTTAGAAATTCTCGATGTATTCTCGCTCGATTCTATCCTCGTCCTGGCTTCGTCTTACAGGGGGGGGCAAGCCCTGGCACTGGGGCATGGCGAGAAGCAGCACTGGGGGCCACGTCTTGCCGCGTGGCGCTCCAGGCTCGGGGGCCCTCGCGGACCGATCCGGCCCGATAAATCTAGCGTCAAGGCCATGTCGGCCGATGAAGCGCAAGCATGGAAGCACGGATTGAGGTGGCTCAAGCCGCTCTGGCTCAAGCCGCGCGGCCCGGAGCGCAGCCCAGCCGGCGCGCTCTCTCCTCTTCCCTCCTCTCCCTTCTCCGGGGGCGCCGGGCGCTGCGTCGGCCGGATGGCGCTGGGAGGATGCGCGCTCGGCCGAGGTGACTCGAGCGGAGGAGGAGGCGATGCAGTCTCTCGACCTTCTGAGCCCGAGCCTGGACTCCTCTTCCCGGCAGGCGCCTCGGGCGCGCCTCCCACAGCCCCAGCACAAGGTGCTGAGCTTGCTCATCGCCGAGAAGGTCGCACTGCTCCGGCTGCTGCGGAAGCGGAGCTCGACGCCGGTGGGGGCGGGCAAGCGGCTGAGGCCGACCGCGCCGCGGGAGCTGACAGCAGCGCCCACTACACCACCGAGTACTTCTGCCTCGCTGACCGGCCTGAGCCCCATGAAGACGAAGAACTCTCCCGAGCCGGAGGCGGACGCCCAGAACACGAAGATTCTGGAGCTCCAGGAGATGATTCGGCTGGTCCGTGCGGCCCTGGACGCCGAGGCGGCCCCGCAGGCGGCGGCACCCCTGCGAGTGATCCAGTACGCGGACGATGTGGCGATCCTGCTGCCAGCGCCCGGCCCGGACGCGACTCCGAGCTCCCCAGGGTCGACGACGCCGGTCGCGGACGTGGCTGGCAGTGCGGAGGAGCCCGGGATCGACTGCGCAGCCCAAGAGGTGCCGCTCCTGGAGGCGTACGACGATTCCCTTCCGGACTGGAGCCCGGATGGGGACCCGCTTCTTTGACCTCCGGCGCCCCCGCGGGCGCACGGGAGAGTACCTCTACGAGACCTTCCCCTTCAAGATCCCTTCCGGCGGCGCCTCAGACTAGCTTGGTGTTCACCAGCGTGCACATCAGCGACGGCTCCTGCCCAGAAGTGGAGTCTTGGGATGCCCTAGACTGGTGGTACCGGGATCTGCTACATCCCATCGGTATTCTGTCTGCGTTCCCTGTTGCGGCTCCCAGCCCGGCGCCCAGCCCGGGGCCCAGCCCGGCCCCCAGCCCGGCTCCCAGCCCGGCGGCCTGCCCGGCGCGCAGCCCGGCACCCAGCCCGGCGCACAGCCCGGCGCGCAGCCCGGCGCGCAGCTTGGCTCCCAGCCCGGCGCCGAGCCCGGCGGCCCGCCCAGCTCCCAGCCCGGCTCCTGGCGCCGACGCCCTGCCCGGCTCTGAGCCCGGCGGCCTGCCCGGCCCCCAGCCCGACGCCCTGGTCGGCCCCCAGCCCGGCGCCAAGCCGGGCACCTGCCCGACTCTCGGCCCGGCTCCCAGCCCGGCGGCTCCCAGCCAGGCCCCCGGCCCGGCTCCCAGCCCGGCGCACAGCCCGGCGCCAAGCCCCGCGCCACGCCCGCCTCCCAGCCCGGCGGCCGGCCCAACAAACCGCCCGGCTTCCAGCCCGGAGCGCAGCCTGATTCCCCACCCGGCTCCCAGCCCGGCTCCCGCGCCCGGCCCCCAGCCCGGCGCTCAGCCCGACACGATGCCCGGCTCCCAGCCCAGGGCCCAGCCCGGCCCTAAGCCAGGCGGCCTGCGTGGCTCCCAGCCCGGCTCCCAGCCCGGCGCCAAGCCCAACGCCACGCCCGGCTCCCAGCCCGGCGGCCAGCCCGGCGCCCAGCCCGGGGCACCGCCCGGCTCACAGCCCGGCTCCCCGCCCAGCGCCCAGCCCGGCGCACAGCCCGGCTCCCTGCCCGGCCCCAAGCCCGGCGGCCTGCCCGGCTCCCAGCCCGGCGCCCAGCCCGGCCTGCCCGGCTCCCAGCCCGGCTCACAGCCCGGCGCGTAGCCCGGCGCGCAGCCCGGGGCTCCGCCCGGCTCACAGCCCGGCTCCCCGCCCGGCGCCCAGCCCGGCTCACAGCCCGGCTCCTTGCCCGGCCCCAAGCCCGGCGGCCTGCCCAGCTCCCAGCCCGGCGCCCAGCCCGGCCTGCCCGGCCCCCAGCCCGGCTCCCAGCCCGGCGCCCAGCCCGGCGCCCAGCCCGGGGCACCGCCCGGCTCACAGCCCGGCCCCCCGCCCGGCGCCCAGCCCGGCGCACAGCCCGGCTCCCTGCCCGGCCCCAAGCCCGGCGGCGTGCCCGGATCCCAGCCCGGCGCCCAGCCCGGCCTGCCCGGCTCCCAGCCCGGCCCCCAGCCCGGCGCCGAGCCCAACGCCACGCCCGGCTCCCAGCCCGGCGGCCAGCCCAACCAGCCGCCCGGCTCCCAGCC